TCGCAGCAGAGGCAGGAGGTGTCAGAATGCCTCCCCTCGCTGCTGCAGCGTCTCGCGGAGAAGGCAGAGGAGGCGCAGCAGAGAAGGCAGACGGGATAAGGTCAGCCGATTTGTCATGGAGGGAGTGGTCACGGAGGCTATGATAGGAGGAGCAGGAAAGGCGCACAGGTGCTCCAGAGGCCCGGCGACCTGGTTTTCCCCGCAGCCCCTTGCCGCCGATAGCAAGTGGAGCGGCAGACCCTGCGAGCTGGCCATGAAGGAGGCCGGCCGCCTGGGAGACTTCTGGGACGTCCAACCTGCAGAGCCCCAGCAGTACGTGCCCGCCTACCTCTCCGCGGCCCTCCCCCCCATCACGGGGGAGATGGTGGCGAAGGCATCCAGAGCTTTCCCAGCAGCCACGGCGCAAACATGGGATGGATTGCACCCTCGTCATTGCCAGCTGGTGCCCTCAGAAAGGCTTGAGACGGTCGCCGCTCTCCTCGATGCCGTTGAGAGGCACGGGGCCATGCCTATTTGCATCAGAAGGGTCGTCATGTTGTGCATCCCGACGCACAAACCAAACAAAAACGTTGGTGCCATCTTCCGTGGGATTGGGATGTGCCCCAGCCTGTATAGACGTTGGAACCGTGTTCGCCGACCCGTCCTCCTTGAGTTGCGAAGCAGCCTCCTTGCAGGGAAACCCCCTCAGGGCTGCAGTGGTCCTGGGGGACACCAGTAACCTCTACGAGCACCTGAGCAGATCCAAGCTGGCCTCGAGGGCAGAAGAATTGCAGTTCCCCAGCCAGATACTGAGCGTAGGCATCAACCAGTACTATGGGTTCCGGTTTGTCTCGATGCAGGGGGGGACGATCATGATGGGTTTCGTTGCGGAGTGCCGCGCTGGCCCAAGCACTCAAGTGGGCCACCATCGTCTGGAAGGCGGCGCGTGCGCCCATCAGCCCGCACTTCTTGGGAGGTCCTCCAAGGGTTTTGTAGTTTGTCGCCTGTGGTTTTGAGGAACCCTCCCCAGAAATAGTGCTCAGTGCGTGGCCCTTTTGGAGCTGCGATGCTGTCATTCGCTAGGATCGGTGGGAAATTTGAAACCCCTTTTGTCATCAGGGACTCCAGTGGCGACACCCAGTGTCTTACCTCCACCTCCCCCGCTCTGCTCTCTTCCCTGTTGCAGCGGTCGCGGAGAGAAAGAGCGCAGCGAGAAGCGGCTAGGAAGCTGGGTTTCAATGAGGACGTGCTCGATGTAAGCGTGGCTCTGTCTGTGCTGAGCACTGGGCGGGTGCCTGAGGACTGGTCCCCTCTGAAACTCCAGGGAGGACGGATGTCTCCTGTGATATTTGACCCAGGGGCTGTGGACTAATGCCAAGCTTGCTCAAGCCGGGTATGTTGTCGCTCAGCTTTTCTGCCCATGCGGGCATCGCAGTGATGGCACGTTGCATCGGCTGTGTGAGTGTCCACTGTCCCAGCCGCTCGGGGATTCAATGTTCAAACCCGATCGAAGGGAAGATTTCGAGCGGTATGTAGGGAACCGACATCCTTGCCTTACGGGTTCTCAATTGGCGCTCAATGTTGAATTGTGCACCCCAGATGGCTCGGGGCTAGAAGCTGCAAATTTTTGGTGCGCTGATCCAGACGTCGCTGTGGAGCAGTCCCTCAGGCAGACTGTTCACAATCGGATTGTGCTTCAAGTCAGGGGCCGAATCTTTTTCATCATGCTGGATGGGCGGTTGTTCGCCTTCAAGATAGCGGGGAACCCCTACGCGGCCGCCTTCCCGCAGACATCCCCAGCAGCCGAATGGATCGCCTTGTGCGCTGCTGCTTTAAAGGGGTCCAGACACCGCGAACTCGTCACTGATTTCGTGGGGGACCCTTAGTCTCAACGGCCCTGTGTGCGTCGCGCTGGATAGGAAATCGCGCTACGCAGGCTTCAGCAAACTGATTCTTGGAGACGTGGACTTCGACCTGCCACGTCAGCAAAGTGAAAGGCCACCAGGATGTAAACTCGTTTTGCGCCGGCACGGACGAGTACTTTAGAGTTCTCGGGAATCCCCATGCCGACAGATGGGTCAAACAAGAGGCCCACATGCATTGCCGCCCTGCCTCGGCGGAAGTGGACGATTTTGAACGGGAAGCAAGATTGCTGGCCGTTTTCTTGATGTATGTGGGGTAAATTCCTCACCTTGTGGCCCCAGCTGGCTGGCAACCACGCGCGCCTGCACCACACAAGGTTAAGAGGGGTCCCAGGCCCAGGACTAAGATCCAGAGAGGTGTGCAGATTACTCGAGAAATTGTGGCGCAGCCTGTCGAGGGGGAGGCCGCCGTTTTTCTCGGCGGCCGCCCCATCTCCACAACCTTCTCCTCCTCTTGCTGCTCATCCGTCGGAGCCTCGTGGTCGTTTTTGGCCCCCCTGGGAGGGAGAGGTTACAGGAGTTTCTAGCCCACGCCCGGCGTTGGAGGCAGACTAAGTGGGTGTGTGTGTGTGTGCCCGTTGCCTGGCGTGGGCGAGCCAGGACAGCGCCAAGGCTCGCAAGAGCGGGCTCGCCTGCCCAGGCCTCAGCAATCCACTTGTCTTTGTAATTCAAGAGCCGGGGGGGCACAGGCTCTTACCGTTTCCCTCCTTGGCTGATGAGGAGGCCTTCTGCTTCGGACGTGCGAGGTGCGGGGCCCACATTTCGAGAGATTTGCGTTGTTTGGCTAGGAGTTGCCATGGAGGTTTCTCGTCGGATGTCCAGCAGCACCGCTGGAGCTGGATGTTGAATTGGGCAGCATCCACGGACCGAGAAGGGGAAAAGCATTGTTTTGAGCCCCCCTGAGTACATAGAGCGCCTCCGGAAGGGAAGCCCGCCAGCAGCGTAGCGCAATGGAAATCAGTAGCACCAGCATCAGAAGCAGCAGCAAGGGGTAGAGGCGGGGCCTCCCTCGTGCGAATGCGCGGCCGCTTGCCGTCGCTTTTTGAAGGGTAGAGCGCGGCAGAGTCGGATTCTTTTTACTGGTGGTCAACCTCCTTCTCCTCCTCCTCCTCCTCCTCCTCCTCTCCCCTCTTTCTGTTTACCCCCTTCATCGCGCCCTCATACATCGCTTCCGCCTCATCATGTTTATCTTCCTCTTGCTCCTCCTCCCGTCTCTCCTTTGCTGTTCCTCCGCCTGTCCCCTTTCCTTTTTTCTTCATCGTTCCTTCGTCACCCCTCCCTCCTCCCTCTCCAACCTCCCTATCCCTGTTCCCCACTCCCTCCTAGTCTCTTTCTTTATTGTTCTCTCTCTCTCTCTCTTTCGCTCCCTCTCCTCCCTGTCTCCGTCCGTCCTTCCTGCTTTCGGAGCGCGTTCCTCCCCGTCATCTTCCCCTCCTCGTGCTGCTATCCTCTTTTTCCCCTTAGGCCTTGGCACTGGAGATCCTGACCCTCTTTCGGGGAGCTGAAAAAGGCGCACTTACCCAGACCTCCTTGCAGGGAGGAGTGGTGAGAAGGGAGAGAAGCAGAGGGAGGGCGATGGCGAGGAGCGTGATGAGAAAGGAGGAGAGGAGGAAGAAGCGGACGGCGGGGAGGGGGAGGGGCATGGAGCAGGGGGGAGACGGCCGGGGCCAGGAGTAGGGGGAACGGAGAGGGGAGTGGGGAGACACGGAGGGGGGGGGGGGGCCCAGGGACGGGCCTCGCGCGGGCTTCTAAGAGAGGGCGAGGGCGGTGCGCGGGGCGGGCGGTGTGCGGGCGGTGCGCCCCGCTTCCGCTCCCCGCCCGTCGTGGGCGACGAGCTCCCGGCGGCCGAGCTGGCGGAGGTCGCGCGCGGCTGCTACGCCGACTTCGCGTGCGGGGACGTGGTGCCGCTGGTGCGGGCCGCGGGCTCGGAGGGCCTCGCCAGCCCCGCTCCTGCCTTGCTCCTCGAGGCCTCCCCCTCCTCGCTCCTGCTCCTCCTTTTCCTTCCTCATCCTCCTCCTCCTCCGCCTTGCTCCTCACGGTCTCCTCCTCCTCCGCCTTGCTCCTCCTTGCTCCTCCTCCTCCTCCTCCTCCTCCTCCTCCTCCTCCTCCTCCTCCTCCTCCTCCTCCTCCTCACCAGGGTCCGTATCGATCCGACCGACCCGATTCGATATCGGTTCCCGCTGACCCGATCTGGTCCGCTTCCGATAGTCACGCGATCCGATGCGGCCCGATGCTTGCGTGGCGCTGCTGTGCATGCTGGCGCAGCCGATCCGATCCGATGTCGATCCCGTGCCGATGCGGCCCCACCCGACGCGCATTCCGTCTCGACCCGATTTGCCAATCCGGTGCTGGCGGATCCTGCCTCAGCCGCTGGGATGGATGTCCTCCCTGGCAGGGCAGTGCGTTGCCTCCTGGGGTGCCTCGCCCCTCCTCCGGGGGTGTACGTATGTGGGCCGCTGGATGCCGCGCGGGCACGCGCTTCTCCTCCCACAGCACGCCGTTGAGTGCGCGTCCGTCCACCCGACGTGGAGTACTTTTTTCCTGATCCTCCCCAGGGCAGCGCTCGCTGCCCGGGCCGAATCCCCCCTCCCCCCTGGGTAAGGCTGACGATCCTATTGGGGGGGGGGCCTGGACCCCAGGCGGTCGATGCGCCGGTGGCGCGGACGCACCCTCAGCGGGTGCACGCCGCGGCCGCCGTTCCCGTTACCCTCTCGCCCGACCCCCGGGTGCCACCCGGAGGCAGGCGTGCCACTCAGCGCCTCCTAGCTCGCTGGCCTCGCTTCTTTGCCGGGCGTCTTGCAGGTTCACATCTCTCAGGTCCACCTTTCTGCGGCGCGAAGCTGCTCGCGCGTCGCGCCTCGCGGTCTGGACCACAGCGGTTGCACTTCTGCGACAGGGCGGCACGATGGCGCGAGGACAAGATAGCACACTGCGTGCCGCAGGGCGCAGTGGGGGTGTTGGGTGGCCCAGATCTCGGCACGCGTCCCGCTTGTCTCAGATCTCGGCACGCGTCCCGCTTGTCTTCTGTCTCTCCATGGAAGGGCCAACCTGTGCATTCGTTGCTCGCTCGTCTCCGTCTGTGCCCTGCGCGTGCGCCCTCCTCCCACTCCGGCCTCTCAAGAGATCTCGAAGCTGAGCAAGCTGCAGGAACATGAGCTTTCGGAGGTCCGTGCGGATGTCTGGGGTCGGCGTCGTACCTCCCTTCCCTGGCGCGCGGAGCGCGCTAGTGGCGGCGCAGGAGACGGGCCCAGCGCCAATCCGTGCGGACTTCGGAAAGTCAAGGTTCTGGCGGTAGGGAGCTCACCGAAGGCCGCCAGTGTTGGAGGCACGCCATGCTGCAAGGCTGCACGGAGTCTCACCGAAGGCAACTTGGTCTGCCTTCGGTGAGCTTCTGTTCCGCCCTGGAGACGGTGACGATGACGATGATGACGATGACGATGACGATGACGCTGATAAAGATGACGATGACGGGATGACGATGAGAATGAAGATGATGATGACGACGGCGATGACGGTGCCGATGACGATGACGATGATGGCGTCATCGTCATCGTCTTCGTCATCGCAGAGGCGGGGATCTCCGCCCAAAGGTCGGGGACCTCCTCGTGGCGGAGCTGTTCCACGGGCCGACCTTCTGCTTCAAGGACCTTGGGCAGCAGCCCCTGGTCCGCCTGCTCGCGCGCTTCGCCGAGAAGCGGGGCCTGAGGCGCCCTTCCCCCCGAGGAGCGGTAGGAGGACGGGGAGTAGAAGGATGAGGTCGGAGGAGGAGGAGGAGGAGGAGGAGGAGGAGGAGGGGGAGGAGGAGTGAGAAGCAGGGGGCGGAGGCAAATAGGACGGAGGAGGAAGGATAAGGGAGGAGGACGATGTTGAGTAGGAGGGAGGAGGAGGGAGGAGGAAGAGGTGGAGGTGGGGTGGGGCAGAAAGTAGGAGGATGAGGGGGAGGAGGCCGTGAGGCACAGAAAACGGGCGGGGGGGAGGAAGAGGCTCGAGGAGAGGGGGGCGGAGAATCGAGGAGGAGAGAGAGAGAGAGAGAGAGAGATTGGAGGAGCAGGTGGAGGAGGAGGAGGAGGAGGAGGAGGAGGAGTAGCAGTGTAAACCCAAGAATCATCAACGATGTTGGAATACACCCTCCCCCCAAGCTCCCGCTTCATAGGCCCCTCCGAGGGTTCATTTCCACTGAGGGAACTGCCTCGTTGGAAGACAACCGTTTGAAGACCCTCAGGCATGCCAACACATTGTTCTCGGGATTCCAACGCCACGGATCAACCTGACTATTGCGTCTTGACGATCCTGAATCGCGCCAGAACGCCGTTCTGGGTGCTTCATCTCCCCGAATCAACGTATTTGATGCACCCTCATGATCCAGACTCTTTCCACAGCATTTCTTGTACGCTGATCATGGGCATCCGTGAACCTCTTGTAAAGTTTTAAAACGCATGTGCGTGGCGCTTAGGCGAAAACCGCATTTTGTAAAGGAACCTCCCTCAATCCGCGAAACCCTTGCAAATGTTTAAAACGAATGTGCACGGCGCTGAGGCGAGAGCCACGTTTTGGAAACGATGCGTTCAATCCGTGAACATCTGGCACACTTTAGATGCGAATGTGCGCGGCGCTAATGCGAGAGTCTCATTTTGAAAACGGCCCGCCCTCCATCGGTGAAACTGTTGTCAGTTTTGAAGCTTTAGGGCCATATGTGGTGAGAAAGTCTCAGGCGAACCGCCGAGCCCGCCCCAAAAACTGGCCTCGGGGTGTGACAGGGAGAAGGAAAATGAATGGAGGAGGAGGAGGAGGAGGAGCAGGAGCAGGAGCAGGAGCAGGAATAGGAGAGGGACGAGGGAGGTGAAGGAGGAGGGGGAGGACGACGGCGGAAAGGCAGAGGCGGGGGGGGCGGAGATTCTGAGGTAAGGGTGAGGACAAGGAGTAGGAGGGACAGAGGAGGATTTGGCGAGGCTGTCAGGGGGAGGAGGATGGGGAGGAAAAGCATGATGATGATACCGACGACGCCGGAAGCAGGAAGAGGACGAGTCCTCAGGCGCACCATGCTCGTGTCGACCACTGGCGACACCGGGCCCGCCGCCATGCGCGCCGTGAGCGACGCGGGGTCTTCCAGCCTTGGCATCGTTGTGTTTTACCCCGATGGTCAAATCTCTGAGCTGCAGCGGAGGCATGGAGGGATGGGAGGAGGGAGGGCGAATGGGGAGCAAGGGACGAGAGAATGCGACAGGCGTAGGGGGGGGGGGGGACTTCGGGTAAGGGAAGACGGAGGGGGGGGAACAGGGGGATTGAGGAGACTGGAAGGCAGGGAGGGCGATGAGGAAGAACGAGCACAAGGAGGAGAAGGAGGGACAGACAGGGCCAGCGGAAGAGGAGCGAGGAATGAGCTGGATGAGGAGGATGGAAGGAGCACGACCAGGAGGAGGAGGAGGAGGAGGAGGAGGAGGAGAACTGAGGGATGTGGAGGGGCCCGAGGGCACGGGGAGGATGAGGATCATGAGTGGGAGAACGACGAGCAGGGAAGGACAAGGACAGGAGAGAACGGCGAAGGATACTGGGATGCAGGCTGCATGCGAATACATGGCAGGAGTAGGAGGAGAAGGAGTGGGAGTTGGCAGGAGGAGGTGGAAGTGGGGCTGGAGGGGGAGGAGGGCGAGGGGGGGGATTGGGAAGGTTGAGCAAGCAGGAGTAGCAGGAGGAAGAGGAGGAGGAGGAGCAGGAGTAGCAGGAGAGAGAGACTGAGGGGAGAGAGGGAGGAGGAGGAGGAGGAGGAGAGGAGGAGGAGGAGGAGGAGGAGAGGAGGAGGAGGGGGAGGAGGGGGAGGAGAGAGGACGGTGGGAGCCAGAGAGGAACCAGGATGAGGAGGAGGGGTGACGGGGAGGAGGAGGGGGGAGGGGGAGGTGGAGGGGGAGGGAGGGAGGGAGGGAAGGAGCCGAAGAGGAAAGTTGAGGAGGAGAAGGGAACAGGGATGAGGGATGGGGGGGGGAAGGCAGATGAGCACGGCGGCGGATGGTTGCCGCGCGCGAGTGGCGCCCTTCGAGGGCGGCGGGGACGACATGGACCTGCCGCTGAAGCGCTTAGGCGCCGACCGCGCGTTCGCAGAGGAGCGCGGCGGCCACGCCGATCGACCTCCTCCTCGTCACCCTCGTTGTGGTTATCCTCCTCCTCCTCCTCCTCCGTCTCCTCGTCCTCTTCCTCCTCCTCCTCCTCCTCCGTCTCCTCCTCCTCCTCCTCCTCTTCCTTCTCCTCCCCCTCCTCCTCCTTTTGGTCCTCGTTCGTTGTTGTCGTCCTCCGCCTTCTCCTCTCCTGCGGCTTTTTCCTTCTGCCCCATCCGTGCTTCATTTTGCCGTCGTCGCGTCTTTCTCTTCCGCGGTCGGCCGGTCGGTCGCGACTTGACAGGTGAGTTTGTTTCTTCATCTTCCATCGATCACTCCTGCATCCAATTCGCTACTCCCTGCCTTCTCTATCCTCCTCGTAGTTGTTCCCCTCGTGCTCTTGTTCATACTCCATCCCTCATTTCCTTCCCCTTCCTCCTCCTCTTACTGATGGTCGTCCTCCCGTCCTTCCTCCCTTCCTCCCTCCCGCCCTCCCTCCTCCGCGAGGAGCACGGCCTGTGTGGGATCAATTCGTACAATCTCGGCCGGCCGGTGGCGCAGACGGTGTTCTATTTCTGGACCTACTTCCGGGCGCTAGACGAGCGCGGGCTCGCCACTGGCGCGGAGATCGACATCGCCCTGCCGTCGGGGGCTCTGGGCAATCTGGCCGCGGGCTTTATGTCGAAGCTGATGGGCCTGCCCGTCCGGAAGCTGATTGCAGGCGTCAACAGCAACGACATCACCCACCGTACGATCAGCAGCGGAGACTTCAGCCGCAGCGAGCGAATGGAGAAGACGCTCTCCGATGCCATAAACATCCAGGTGCCCTACAACATGGAGAGGATACTGTACTACCTGACGGGTGAGGACGCGGCGCAGACGGCGGCCTGGCATTGTGGAGACCAAAAAGGTACCGATACTGCCACTCCTCGGTTCTGACCATGATTTCGAGGTGAATCCAGAGGTGGCGGTGATGGCCTCCCAGGAGGCCCCAAAGAGGCGAACACGAGGGACGGGTCGCGGTATCCTTACCGTTTCCTCCTCCGAGGTACGCCGAGATCGAGCGGACGGGGAGCTTGGCGCTCCCGGAGCCGTGGCTGGCACGGCTCCGCGAGACCTTCGCGTCGTCCCGCGTGGACGACGCGGCCATGTGCGCGGCGCTGCGCCGGGGCCTCCAGGCCCACGGCTACCTCTGCGACCCGCACACGGCCGTCGGCCTGGCCGCGGCGTGGGCGGCCCTGGGGCCCGCCGGCAGCGCCGTGCCGATGGTGGTGCTGGCCACCGCCGCGCCCTGCAAGTTCCAGGCGGCCATCACCGAGGCCGTCGGCGCAGAGGCCTGGGCCGCCTTCGAGCGCAGCGAGCGCTTCCCCGAGGCCGCCAGGCGCCTCATGTCGCTCCCGGAGCGGCCTGCTGCTGCTGCCGCTGCGGCTCTCTCTCTGCCCCCATTGCCCCTCCTCGCGCCTCCTCGCCCTTTGTCGCTCCTCCTCGGCTCTCGTAGCTCTTCCTAGCTCCTCCTCCTCCTCGGTTTCTCGGTTTCTCGGTTTCTCCGCAGTGGTCTCCCCAGCGCGCCCTGCGCCCGGCGGGCGCTCCGGCCGCGGGCCGGGCGGGGGGGGGGGCGCGGGGAGGCCGCACCTGGCAGGGGCACAGGCCGGAGTCTTTCATCCGCCAACCGCTGCCAGGTGCTAAGCGCCGCCCTGCACAGCGTACCAGCGCCCAGCCTACATACTTGATGCAGTCGGCGGTCGCTACCGGGCCAAGTAGGGCCAGGAGCGCCGCCTGCTGCGTCGTAGGCGCCCCGCCGTCGATGGATGCCCACAGCTGGCGTCGTGACGCCGAGGTGTGCCCGCACGCAAGCAATGCATGGGAGACGTCCACCTCTGTGCTGGGACATGCACCACAGCGCGGCAGAACCAGCGGCGCGTCCTCACCACCTAGGACTGGCAGCGGCCAGCGGCCAGTCACCCTGCATACTGTAATACAGATTCCTCCATGATCTTCAAACATGTTTTGGCGGTACCGCCGTAGCAGCGACCTTCGGGATGCTGGCGAAGACCGGGCTGCGACCACCTCCTCTGTGAACCCCTCATGGGCGCTGATGTCCCGAATGGGCCCGTTCGGCATGCTGGCCATGAGCTGGCCAGCCGCACGCCACCAGGAGGGCGCCGGCGACTGGCGCGCGGCATCCCGCATCGCCGTCGCCGGGTGTCCCTCCGGGAGGACCCAGAGCCTGGCGCGTGCCATGACCACCTGCAGGATCATGAGCGTTCAAAGCCTCAGGTCCCACTGGCACTGAAGGTGCGAGAGTGCCCAGTTCAGCCGCAGGCCACGTCTGTAACCCAAGGTGGCCCTGGCCCAGTACGCTTGCAAACTATTGAGATCACTCTCAATGTTGGGCACGGCGGCCAACACAGCAGCACCTGCCAGCACTGCGGGAACAATTCTGATCAACACCTGGGCAGCTAGGACACGAACCGGACACCCGCCCGCCTCCGCTGCTTGGTAAAGCTCATCGAACAAGGAGCGCCCCATGGCCATGGTAGCTTTCGCGTGGGGGGCGAAGGACAGCTCCGCGTCAAGGGTGATACCCAGCATCTTGTGCGTCAGCACTAGGTCGAATCCCATGCCAGTGGAATCGAACATGGGGCTGCCGTGTACCGCCAGGCATTCGGCTTTCCCGGGGCCGAAATTGAAGGCAGCCTTATGCCTCGCAGCATACTTCACCGTGGCAGAAGAAATGGACTGGTCCAGGATGGCCCTGGTCGCCCCCACCGACGGGCAGGCCGCCACCCCGTCGTCGATGTACTGTAGCATGACCAATCCGTGGCGGCCCGCACTCTCGACGACCGCGATGCGGTCTGAGAGTGATGGAAGTTGCGCCAGGGCTGCCGCCGCAGTCGCAACCGGGCACCGGCTGCTCCTCTCTGCCACGGCCACCTGTTGACAAACTTGCTGCGCCTTCGCTAAGATCGTTTCGCGCCCGGCAAGTAGCTCGGCAGGGGACCGGGCGTGGGCCTCAAGCATGGCTGCGCGGGCCCAAGCCGGCGGCGTTGCTCGCGCCCCACCCGGGCACGCGGCACGCCGCCTCTACCTCGTCTCGCAGGTCCCGGAGGAGGGCGTTGAATGCTGGAACAGAGAAGCGGCGCCCTTGTGCCGTGCCACACGCTAGGACGAATGTTGTGGAGAGAAGCCCGTGTAATTCCAGAACCTGCGAGTCTTGTTGCATAACGTCGTCGAGCCACAGCCAGGCGCGCCCATGTACTCCTGCCCTATAAGTGCCCAACAACATACCATTGTGGCCTGCGACATCAAAGCCCCATTTGAGGTCAATCAATGCTAGATAAGTGGCTAGGCCTAAATATGACCGCACTTCTCCAAGGAGGACCACGGCCAGTACGAGCGAAATTGGATCAGATATTCCCCCGACCTGGCTGTCACCGCAGTAGTCCTGGATACATGGAAAATGTCTTTCAACCCATAGTGCGTCCAGGAATTGAGCGAAGTCCGAGCATATGCTGATGGGCCGGAGGCAGCTTGCAGAACGTACAATGCGCGGGCCTGATTTGTGTCGGGGCGAATATTTCCGCAGTGACCACAATGACGATGTGAGGCACATATGGTGGGACAAGTTGGCCAGGCAAGCTGTCACCCTCCTGCCTGCCAGGACCGACGATTTAAGGGCTGCCGTAGCGCAGCCGAGACCACCCCCGCTCTCCCGCAGACGGGAGATGGCATTGGTGATCTCCTCTGCTGTGTAGGGACCGTTGTTAGTGGATGTGGAGGGCGTGCCCTCCGGCGTGGCGCCTGGTCTCCGCACCGCGCAGATTTCCCGATTCATGGCAGCAGCATCGGACTCGTTCTGCGGGAATGAGTTCTGCGCGCGGGTGAATAAGTCTTCCACGAGTGCCTGGACCATTTGCTCCTGCGACATGGCCTCGCCCGTCGTCGGGTCGTCGAGTGCTACTTGGACAGGCGCGCTCCCCCGGAACCAAGAGGATAGGAACCGTTCCGCTCGACCTGGGTCACTCTCTCGGAGCGTGATGTACTTTTGGAACGTCGCCCGTCGTGTGGCCCACGTTGCCTCTTCAGCTGCTTGCTTAAACTCCGCAAAAGTTTCAAAACCATCTGGGGAAGGCCCTGGCGCCCTTCGTTTGGGCGCGCGCTGCCGCGGAGCCGCAACCTTGACCGCGCCTGCGGCGTGGCCGGCAACCACCATCACGACGTCGCGGCACCAGGCAGCACAGTCCAAGATGCCGCGCCTCACCTTTTTCGACGAGGTCCCCCCCCCCAGCATTGGCGGCGCCAGGACAGGGTCACACTGGAGCGGGTCTATTGCGTCAGCAAGCAAATCCAAAAGAGGTGCGACTGTATGAAGTGCTGCATCCCATTCTTCCGTTGATGCCCATGACACCCGGCCGACAACTGCGTCATATCGAAGGGTCAGATTCTGCGGGAGACTGCCGAATACCATTTTGTGGTCCGAGGCCGCTACGAACATGTCCAAGACGCGGACCTGCATGGGCACATTGCTCGCGGCTAAGACTACGTCAACCGTTGTGCCTGACACGTGTGTAGGTACACGGGGGTTAAGTAGCTCCAACCCAGCCTCGGTGGCCATCGCCCTGTCCGCAGTGGACTGCGCGCAGTGGGCACATTTACAGCCAGGCGTATGGTCTAGGAAGCGGGCCCAATGCGCGTTGCCGTCGCCAAATAATACGTGCCACGCATGTGGATCAGCAGCTGAAAGAATCGCACGGGCTCGAAGAACAGCACCCCAGGTGCCTCTGTCGCCCCCCAGGGCGCCATAGAATCCATAAATATATGTGCAGGGGCAATCATTGGTGGCGCTCGGGCTCCGCACTTTAAGGGTATGCCACCTCTCACCGCAATGCTCTTCGATGGAGCTCACTGCCGGCAGAAGTTCCGCTAGAATGAAAAAGCCGACCGATGCATATGATGACGTTTGCTTGCCGACCCATGCGTACGGGAAGTTGCCAGGCAGTCGTGCCCCAGGTGGGAAACGTGCCCCAGGGATCACACATATGTGTACTCTTTTCTGCTGCAGCGCTGCCGATATCCCCCAGAGGCGCCAATGCAGAAGTTCATTCGTCCCCAGCGTGGAAAGGCCAACAACCCCGGGGTTCATGGAGCCAATCGTGAGGCCTTCTGTCTGAAGTGGTGTTGTGGCTATTTCCTCGGCCCCCGTGTCGCCAACCCGCGGTCCACCCGCGTAGGGTGACACAATGGGCTGGTTCCTGCCCGCCCCCTGCATCCCTCGGATCGCCTCCTGTTTCAGGAAGCGGCCGAAATCGTCCGCGATGTCAGCCAGTGCCCGGATGCTTGCACCTCCTACAGGCTGGAGGCGGGAAGGCCTGTCCGGCTGCAGCTCGAGGAGCGCCGCCACATCCTTCTGGAACGCTGCCCGCTCACACTTCCGCGGGCGCCCATCCTGCCAGGTTGTGAGCAGATGCCGGAGGCCTTCCATGGGCAAGGGCCGCTGGGTGGGTTGGTGACGTTCGACACCAGTGGCCACGCAGACGCGCGCGCACACGGGCAAGACTATACCTGTATCGCTCGGCGCTGGACATGCATCGCGCCGCACATGCTAGGCGGGCGTTCCCCGCCCCGTCCAGGGATGGCAGGCCCAGGCCCGAGCCAACCGGCGCTGGTCGGGATGCAATAAAATCCTGGCCACCGCCCCCCAAACCTAGTTAGATAATGGCAATTCAATGAATGTCCCCTCCCATCCCCACCCACCTGTCTATCTTCGCGCCTGGTCCTGTGATCAGCACGGGGGGCGCTGTTAACGAAATTGTCCCCCCCCAGTGGTCGGTCGGCGGCTGGTCACTAAGCGCGGAGCGCGCAGCTCCAGGACGGGAGCGTGCAGCGCCAGGACGGGAACGTGCAGCGCCAGGACGGGACGATCCAAGGCGGCCCCCGGACGGCTCTCGACGACCCTCCAGCATTCGACCGGCGGTCGAATAACGACAGGCGGAGGGGGGGGCATTCCGTGACAAGGTCGACGGCCCGCCACTCCGCACGGGTGGTGCTGGTAACGAAATTGTCCCCCCCAGTGGTCGGTCGACGAAATTGACCCCCCCCATTGGTCGGTCGGCGGCCGGTCACTAAGCACGCGTGCAGCGCCAGGGCGGGAGCGTGCAGAGCCAAGGCGGGAGCGTGCAGCGCCAGGACGGGACGATCCAAGGCGGCCCCCGGACGGCTCTCGGCGACCCTCCAACATGCGACCGGCGGTCGAAAAACGACAATGTGAGGGGGGTATTCCGTGACAAGTGAGGGTGGCCAGGGTTACACGCGTCCGCCAGCTTTCGGCGACCCGCCTGCGTTCGATCGGCAATCATGCGCTCGTGCGCGCCTCGGGGTAGCGACCCCCCGTGTCACCCGGCGGGGCGCAGGTTGCATGTGAGAGGTTTTTTTTTTGTTGTCTTCATCTCTGGATGCACGCCGCAATGTTGATGGGGTGGACGGAGAGACAAACAAAGGCGGAGTAGAGAGAGAGCCTCCTCCTCCTCCTCCTCCTCCTCCTCCTCCTCCTCCTCCGTCCTGGCTCCTCCCTCCCTCCTCGCTCATCCTTCCTGCTCATCCTTGCTCCTCCTCCTCCTCCTCCTCCTCCTCCTCCTCCTCCTCCTCCTCCTCCTCCTCGCTCCTTCTCGCTCCCTCCTCGCTCCTCACTCTCCCTCCTCCTGCATTTCCTCTCTCGTTCCTCATCCTCATCCTCATCACCCACGTCCTTGTGCCATCCCTTCTCTAGTGGCCCGTCCTCCTCCCGGAATAGGGAAGAAGTTCTCTCCTCCTGAAGGACGATTTCTCACATACCTTCGCACCTTCCTCAGGAGAACCTTCCTCCCTCTTCTTTTACATCCCCAGCCTCCTTCAGCAGATTGAGGATAAGGGCGTAAGAACGGATGGCTAGGGAGGAGGAGCGAGCCTTCCCCTCATGCTCCTCGCTCTCCTCCCTCCTTCCCTCCCTAATCCTGTATATATATATATATATATATATATATATATATATATATATAGCACCCCGGTGAGTGAGGGGACGGCGGGGACGTCGGCAGTCTGCGAGGCTCTGAAGAATCCGCCGCAGACGCCGAATGTTCACAAATTATACATCAAGCCCGCCGCAGCTGCCGATTTTTTCGTTAACGCAATGACGGTGTGTCGCGGGTGGATCTCGGGTGGGTCGCGGGTAGGTCGCCGGTGGGTCGCGGGTGGGTCGCGGGCCGGGTCGCGGGTGGGTCGCGGTTGGGTCGAGGATGGGTCGCGGGTGGGTGGCGAGCGGGTCGCAGGTGGGTCGCGGGAGGGTCGCGGGGGGGAGGGGGGACGACAACAACAACGCAACGCGACAATAAGCAGAATCCGCGCTGCGGAGATCCACTTCAGCCACGCACCCAGGGACAGTGAATGACCGTTCGGTCCCTTCACTCTGATGTCCTAACTCCTGCGACTCACTGTTCTTGCCCCACCTCCTAGTCAATCTTTCCTCCCCCTCCTCCTCATTCCTCGTCCCCCTCTGCTGCTGTTCTCCTCCAGGTTAAGGGGCAGCAGAAAAAGGAAGAGAAGGGCGGAGCAGCCATCCTCCCTCCTCTTCCTCATTCCTTCTCTTCCTGTTCCCTTTCGTTTCCTAAGTTTTCTCCTCCCCCTCCCTCTTGCTCCCTCCTCGGTTCCCCCTTCACGAGACCCTGCTCGGCATCTTGCGCACCAGCAGGGTAGACGTGCGTTTCCCTAGACAGCTTGCCTGCAAGGGTTCCAATGCCCGTTTTTCTGAGGAACGAGCAGGTGGACTGCTATCGGCGTCACCCCAACATACTTATACTATATGTGCGTCGTCCCCCCAGGGGCGACGCGCGCACCGAGAATTCTTATAGTATATGCGTCGTGGCGGGCGCTTTCTGACCACACCGCTCGGGAAACGATGCACTACAAGATGGGTATACTACATGTTCGGGTCGGACGCGCGCCTCCGTGGCGGTTGCTTTCTGACCACACCGCTCGGGAAACGATACACTACAAGATGGGTATACTACATGTTCGGGTCGGACGCGCGCCTCCAAGAAGGACATGTCGTCTGAGTATGTCTCTGCGCGTCCCATGCCTGATCCAGAGTCGGTCGGTCGCCATCGTGGCCTCGCGTGCCCTCTCCATGGAGGCCTCTCCCACTGCCGACCTTCTCCCTGCCCGGCCTGGGCGGCCTGCCGGATCCAGCGCCGGGTCGGGCGACGGGGCCGCCCGCTGCCTCCCGTGGCAGCCCGCTGCCTGCTGTGGCTGCCCCTTGCCGTCCATTTGCCTCGCCGTCCGCCCTCATCCCTATCTTTTTGTTACTCCCGTCCCCATCCCTATTTTTTTTTACTTTCATCCCTATCTTTTTGTTACTCCGGTCCCCATCCCTACACGTTGTGCATTTCTACTTCTTCGAACATTCCTTGATCTCCGGGGGGCCAAGATCCTCTCATGTCTAGGTGTTTCATCGCGGGCCTCTTCCTGGCCAGTAGGGGGCCGGGAACATTTAGAAACGAGCACAATGAGAAATGAGCACGATTAGAAATGAACGACGTGTATCCCCGTCCTTGCATCCATATCCCTCAATCCCTAGCCCCATGTGCCTACCCAGAGCCGTAATATGCCCATCCCAATTCCCCCCATGGTGACCCCCCTATCGTAGCCCCCCATCGTAATTGTGCAGAACTGTTGAGGATCTTCTGCCGCACAGGTGTCATCTTGTCGTGCGGCTTCCTTCCCCCCACCTCCCCCTCCTCCATCCCGCCCTCCTCCTCTCCGTCCTTGTCGCTCTTAGCTCGTCCTTCTCGCTCCTCGCTCTTCATCCTCCCGTCCAGCCTCTCCTCAGCCTCATCGCTTCTCCCTCGCTGCTGCCTCGCTCCTCCCTTCTCTCCTCCTCCGTCGCTCCTCCTGCCAGAGCTGCCCGAGGAGCGCCTGGAGCCGAAGCTGGCCCGCCAGGGGCCGCTGGAGGCCTCGCAAGCCGCCTGGGAGGCGCAGGTTCGGGCCATGATCGGCCAGGCCTCCGCGAGGCTCTGAGCGCTGGGCCGCCGCTTAGCGCGCGGAGGAGGAGGAGGAGGAGGAGGAGGAGGAGGAGGAGGAGGAGGAGGAGGAGGAGGAGGAGGAGGAGGAGGAGGAGGGAGGAGGAGGAGGAGGAGGAGGCGGAGGAGGAGGAGGAGGAGGAGGAGGAGGAGGAGGAGGAGGAGGAGGGGGAGGGGAGGAGGAGGAGGAGAGGAGGAGGAGGAGGAGGAGGAGGAGGAGGAGGAGGAGGAGGAGGAGGGAGGAGGAGGAGGAGGAGGGAGGAGGAGGAGGAGGAGGAGGAGGAGGAGGAGGAGGGAGAGAGGAGGAGGAGGAAGAGGAGAAGGAGGAGGTGGCGGAGGACGGAGAGGAGGAGGAAGGAGGAGGATAGGGAAGAGGAGAAGAAGGAGCTGGCGGATGAGGAGGAGGAGATGAGGAGGAGGAGGAGGAGGAGGAGGAGGAGGAGGAGGAGGAGGGAGGAGGAGGAGGAGGAGGAGGAGGAGGAGGAGGAGGAGGAGATAGGAGGAGGAGGAGGAGGAGGAGGAGGAGGAGGAGGAGGAGGGAGGGGAGGGGGCGAGGGCGAGGAGGAGGAGGAGGAGGAGGCGGAGGATGAGGAGGAGGAGGAGGAGGAGGAGGAGGGAGGAGGAGGAGGAGGAGGAGGAGGAGGAGGAGGAGGAGGAGGAGGAGGAGGGGGGGAGGGGGCGGAGGGCGAGGGCGAGGGAGGAGGAGGAGGAGGAGGAGGAGGAGGAGGAGGAGGAGGAGGGATAGGAGGAGGAGGGGGAGGAGGAGGAGGAGGAGGAAGAGGAGGAAGAGCCTGCAGGCCCGATCTTCCATTCCCCCCAGCCTCGCGTCCTCCATCTTGGATATCAGCAGCGATGGGCGATCAGTGTGGACCATGGGCCGGGCTCTCCATCCGAGGAAGGGTCCAGGAAGGACCTCGTGTGTGGCGCGCCCCCGTCCACGGAGGGCAGCCTGGCGGGAGGCCGGCGAGCGAGGGCGACATGGCGGCGGCTTTGCCGGCGGAAGCGGGCGGGGCCGGGGCAGGAGTAACAGCGAGACGTCGTTTTTCCCTTCGCCCTTTCCCATCCCCCTCGCTCGCCTCGAGCGATGTTTAGGCAGCCCGCTGCGAGACCTCCCGCAGAGACGTCGCGCAGGGGGGCCGAGCTCGGAAACGAATTTGCCCGCGAGGGCCGCCGCCGCCCCGCTGAGCCTCCTCTTCCGCCCCGCTCTGCCTCTCTGCGCTCGTCTCCCTCTCTCGTTCCTCCCGCCTCCCTCCTCCAGGAGCGGCAGGAGACAGGAGGAGCAATAGGGGCGAGGGGAGGAGGCGGAGGAGCATGAGGGCGAGGGAAGAAGGAAGGGGTGGAGGATGAGTAGCAAGAGGGCGAGGGGAGGAGGAGGAGGAGGAAAAGGAGTTGGAGGAGGAGGAGGAGGAGGAGGAGGAGGAGGAGGATGAGGAGGAGGGGAGGAGTCCTCCCCTTCTCCCCCTACCGTCGCCCTCTTGCTCCTGCCCCCTTCCGCCGCTCCTGCTGCTCCGCTCCGCTCCCGCGCCTCCGCCTGCTCCCTGCCTCCGCCCGGCGCCGGCTCTCCCTCCCAGCGCTCGTCGTCCTTCTGCTGCGTCGCCTGCCCCTGCCAACGCGTGTGCTGTCCCTGCTGCCGCCACTGCTGCCGCTCGCCCCCTCCTCCTGCAGGCTCCTGCTCCGGGCCTGCCGCCCCCTCCCCTGCGGCCGCTCCTGGGTGCGCGTCGGGCCCCCGGCGGACGGGCGGGCTCTCGCCACCGAGGCGCTCCAGAGAGGGCCTCTCGCCTTGGAGGGGTCGAGGGAGTGGGCACCTCCTCCTCGGCGGGAGGCGGCGGAAGCCAAAGGGGCGCCCGCAAGAGGTGCCAGAGCCTCGGGAGTCGCGGCACAGGCCACTTGCAGCACTTGCACCACCGCGCGGGCAAGGGGCCCAGAGCCGGCTGGCGCCTCCCAGGGAGCACGGCAGCGCCTCGGCCTCGAAGCGGGCAGCCTGCGGGGAGCCACCGCGGCCCGCAGGATTCGGATTCCAACAGCGTGCCCCGCCTGGCAGCTGGTCACCACGCACATCGTTAGAATAGAATGCGACAGGTTCGCGTCGTGTCGACTGGCGGCTACCCCGCCGCCAGCGTTCAACGCTGAACGCCGTTGGCGACCCAGAATCGGTCCATGTTGAACGATCCGTCCACGTTGAACGATTTAACGTTTCTGGAGCGGCCGATCGTTCAAGATCGAAATCTCCAGCGCGGTGTCAGAAACCAACGCCGGGGTTGGCGCGACACGAACCTACCGTAGAATCGAACGCGATTCGGATTCGGACGCCCCTCGCTGCCCCCTCTTGCCCAGGGGGGCGGTGCCTGCCTGCGCCCTCGGGGGCCCGGAGCTGCAGACTCGGCCAGCCGTCCCGCGGCTGCTTTCTGGGCACACCGTTCGCAAGAAGGAAGGCGAGGCCGCTGGACTGGCGAGGCCAGGCCCTGGTCGTCCTCGTTGGGATTCTACCTTCTACCGTCCTCCTCGTGTTCCTCCTCCTCCTCCTCCTCCTCCTCCTCCTCCTCCTACTCCTCCTCCTCCTCCTCCTCCTCCCTCCTCCTCCTCCTCCTCCTCCTCCTCCTCCTCCTCCTCCTCCTCCTCCTCCTCCTCCTCCTCCTCCCCTACCTCCTCCTCCTCCTCCTCCTCCTCCTCCTCCTCCTCGTCGTCGTCATCCTCCTTCTCGTGCTCCTCCTCTCCTCCTTCTCCTCCTCTCCTCCTCCTCCTCCTCCCCTCCTCCTCCTCCTCCTCCTCCTCCTCCTCCTTCCTACCTCCTCCTCCTCCTCCTCCTCCTCCTCCTCCTCCTCTCCTCCTCCTCCTCTCCTCCTCCTAACCCTCCCCCTCCCCCTCCCCCTCCCCTCCCCCCTCCCCCTCACCCCTCCTCTCCTCCTCCTCCCGTTCCCTGGGTTCCCTGGCTGCGTGCTCGTGCCTGTGCGTGCTCCGGCGTTCTCCCCGCCCTCGGAGTCGGCACCGAGATCGGCGCCCCCGAGCTCGACCGGGCCTGGCTGGCAGCATTCGGGTGCGCCCGCGGTCTCGTCCTCCTCCTCGTCCTCCTCGTCCTCGTCCTCCTCCCCTCCTTCCTCCCTCCCCCCCTCCTCCTCCTCCTTCCTCCTCTCCTTCGTTCCGCCTCCTCTTCCTCCGCCCCCTGGGGCTCCTCGTCCTCCGCCCCCCCTCCTCCTCCTCCTCCTCCTCCTCATTCTCCTTCTCCTCTTCCTCCTGCTCCTCCTCCTCCTCCTCCTCCTCCTCCTCCTCCTCCTCCTCCTCCTCCTCCTCCTCCTCCTCCTCCTCCTCCGCCTCCTGGGGCTCCTCCTCCTCCTCAGCCTTGGGGTGGCCCCGAAGCAGTGCTGTGTGCCGCTGCCTTCTCTCCGTCTGTTCGCCTCTGGCGTTTCTCCTCGCCTCCTCGCCATCCGTCCTGGTCCGCCTCCGAGGGCATCTCGACTGCAGGCTGTCTGCCCGCGGTTCAGCATCATGCAGGCCTTGCTTCGCCTGCCTACTTCCTCTTGTACCCGTTCCGCCTCCTCCTCCTCCTCCTCCTCCTCCTCCTCCTCCTCATCGTCATCATCACCATTATCATCATCATAATCAGCAACATCACCATCAGCATCAGCATCATCAGCATCATCATTATTCTCATTACCATCATCCTCATCATCAGCATCGGCATCATCATCATCATCATCATCATCATCATCATCATCATCATCATCATCATCATCATCATCATCACCATCATCATCATCATCATCATCAGCATCAGCATCAGCATCAGCATCAGCATCATCATCATCGCCATCATCATCATCATCATCATCATCATCATCACCATCATCATCACCATCATCATCACCATCATCATCAGCAGCATCCACCTTCTCATCATCATCAGCATCATCAGCAGCCTTATTATCATCATTTTGCTCTACGGCAGTAGTTAACACCCACGGGCAACCTCCCTCTCTCACCTGTTCCTCCTAACCTCTTCCACTGCGCTCCCTCCCGGCAAGGAGAGCAAAGAGCGCCGCCAAGCCACCGAGCACGTCTTGACTGAGAACTCGGAGGGCATCCCGTTCGAGAGGCCAGGGCAGCGTAGCAGGCAGCAGGTCAGGGATCAGGCTGAACAGACATGTTGATTCGACAGATACACGGAGAGAAAGGGAGAGAGAGAGAGAGAGAGAAAGAGAGCGCGAAAGCGAGAGACAGAGAGGGAGTGCTCTCGATGTCGTGCGCGCATGCGCGCTGCCCGCTGCTCGTGTCCCAGCCCTCCACACTGCCTCGGCTGCGCCCGAGAGTCAGCTCCGTCCTCGCATCTGCCCGCACGCAGCCCCATTCAAAGGGAGAGGATGACGCGCATCGCATCCCCCGAAAGACAAACAACCGCAAACGATATACGAACACGACCACGACGACGACGAGCCACGAATCACGAACGGCGACCACGACGACACATAAGAGCGAACGAAACGACCACGAACCTCGAGCGGCGAACGTCGAAAGACGTCGTCGCATATGCGAGCACATCCCTCCGCGACCACCGCGCAGGGGCGCGAGAAGAAATCCGAGGGCCTTGGGAACCCTCAGGCCGCGTTGGTCATGCGCCGAGCGCGCGCTGCGCCCATGCGCGGTGGCACGGCAGCGCCGCCCCGGCGGTGAAGCTGCCGGCGCCGGAGCCGGCGCGCGGCGCCAAGCCGTTTCCTTGCCTCGCGCGCGCAGGCGAAGGTCCCCGCGCCGCACGGGGGGCCCAAGCTCGGAGCGCAGCGTGTCGCGCTGGGGTCGGCGCGCGGCGCCCGAGCTCGAGCGCACGCGGGATGGCTCGATCGCGTGGCGTCGGCGGCGCTCTCGGCGAGCGACGTTCGCGCGGTGGTCGGCGCGTGGCGCCAAGCGGGAAGGCGCTTCGCTGCGCGGCTGGCAGCGTGCGGGTGCGCGCGGGCGTCCCTGCGGATGCGTGGCAGCGGCGGCGCAAGTAGAAGCTACCACTCGGAGCACACTGCAGCGGCGGCGCACGTACGTCGCAGTGGCGTCGA